TCAGTGGCTGCAGGTAGCACTGACATTCAAGGTTAATTGAGTTTTTGGATTATCATTTTTAAGACATTCCTCGCGAGGGCCGACACTAGAACCACATGTTATGGAACCGCTTCGCCAATTGTAACGCGCCTGCTCGACCAGGGGCGGTGTGTAAACTTCGGTTTTTACTTCGCTCAACGCTTCATACCTCGTGCTTCGACCGATCTTCTTCGAAGTTCGGTCCTCGTCTTCGTACGCAGCCCTTGTTATCCGGATTCCCCAGGGGAGGGACGGATAAATCCTTGCGGAAATAATCCGGGGAATCCGGGGATCGAACCCACGACCTTTGAGTTAAGAAACCGATGCTCTACCACCTGAGCTATTCCCTCCCCCACACTGACATTCAAGGTTATCAAGTAGTGCGAAGCCGAAAAATGTCACATAGTTAAATCAATGCTTGGCTGCGGTTTTGGTCTGAAACGCGACATATACTACTATGAGGCGAGGTAATATCGTCCGCTGCATATGCGGGTTCATACGTTCGTGACGAGGACTTCACATGCTGACCATGGCGAAAGGTCTCCGCTATGAACTGCAGCGCCAGTGCAGTTGTTCGAAGATGATCCGTTCCAGCGATGTGGGTGGAAAGTTGTTTAACTTGTGCTGGGAAAAATTCCGCCAATCATAGTCGAGGTAACTATATCGATGATTATAATTGGCTGATTTGAAAATTTATTCCCGCGCCGTTACTCAGCGTCGTTCCCTGTACAGAACACGCTTGTTCTTGAAATACGACGAATTTGGCAAGTTCGACATGCAACAAAGTGATCTTGATACTATTGGCTGTTGTTATGAGGAATATAGTTTCGTGGCTTGGTATACATTGACAAATCGCTGACCTGCATTGCGCCTTTCCGTACGTACGCATGCACAATCTGCAGGATGTATACATTGTTTTGCAAAAAGTAAATAATTAAGGGAATGAATAAAAATACGCATACTTAATACAAACATCAGCATAAAGATGTCCAAGCGAATCATAATTTGTAACTGTCGAGCGCATTACACGCCGTTTGGCTCGTACTAGTACTACGTAGTAGCTACGAACGGAGAAATGTCGCATCTGAACTTAACCAACGGAAAAACTCACACATAGTGGTACTGTTGAGGTAATTATTCACGGAAATTAGATTTTCCGTTTGAGGCAAATACTCCATATGCTTTAATTGTACTTCAAGGCCTCCGACCGTCTGAGGTGCACCCGCATTAACTGTAAACGCCATGTCACAATTTCGGGCAAGTCCGAATACCTAGTACTTTGTACAGGTCGAGCATGTAGTCCTTCAATTGTCATCACCCCATTCCGAATTTGCGCCTATTTTGGCAACATCAACATGAGAGTAGTGACGTCGACGTCGGCTTTAGTCTTGCTTGCATGCACCATACTGTCCGCTGCCCAGGACTTGGACGCCAAAGCGCGCGACATTGTGGAACGTATGAGCGTGGACCAGTTGCTGGGTCAAATGACGCAGATCACCATTGACTTCGTGCTTGCCACACAAGACGGAGGCAAGGTGGTCAACGTGGGAAAAGTCCACGAATTGGCCAACCAAGGCATCGGATCGTACCTAAACACGCCGTTCGTGGCAGCTCTTGGGGACAACTACGGGTGGAACGTGCATGAGTGGCGCCATGCCATCGGCCAACTCCAAGATGTCCACATCCGCACGACCGGTACACCCATCATCTACGGACTGGACTCGCTCCACGGCGCCAACTACGTCAAAGGCGCCGTTCTGTTTCCCCACCAAATCAACGTTGGCGCGACGTTCGATCCCGAGCTGGCCCGTCGAATGGGCCATTACGCCGGCCGCGACACCAAGGCGGCGGGGATTTCGTGGATCTTCGGTCCGACCTTGGAACCTGTGCGCCACAAGGGGTGGCCACGCATCATGGAAACGTTTGGCGAAGATCCGACGGTGGTTGCGGACATGGGGAAAGCAGCGATCGATGGCATCCAGAGCCAGGGGGTGGCGGCCTGCTTCAAACACTTCATCGGGTACTCGGCCAGCAACAGCGGCAAGGACCGCGACCCGGTGTCCCTGAGCAACCACGAACTGCTCAACTTGTTCATGCCGCCGTTCAAAGCCGCGATCGATGCGGGGGTGATGAGCGGTATGGACTCGTTCGTGTCGTTGGATGGCATCCCCATGGCTGCCAACCGCAAAAACTCCATCCAGTTCCTCCGCGACGACCTCAAGTTTGACGGTGTACTGGTCAGCGATTGGGAAGAAATCTACATGTTGGAGTTCTACCACAACTATGCCGCGAATCGCGAGGACGCCATATACAAAGCCATGACGGACTCGTCCTTGGACATGAGCATGGTGCCGCACGATACGAGTTTCATCGGACACATGAAGGACTTGTACTACGCTGGGAAAATTCCCCTCGACCGCATCAAGACATCGGTGACCCGCCTCGTCAAGATGAAGCTCAAGCTCAACCTTTTCGACGTGCCGATGCCGGGGGCCGATGTCGTCAACCAGGTGGGCGACTGGTCGAGTCGGGCGGCGGCGTGGGACATTGCCAAGGAGTCGTTGGTGTTGGTGAAGAATGTGGACAATGTTTTGCCGCTGGACAAGTCCAAGAAGTTCTTCTTCACGGGCCCATCGATCGACGACATTGGACTCATGTGTGGTGGCTGGACCTTGACGTGGCAAGGCCAGCAAGGCAGCTCCATGTTCCCCAATCATTGGCGCACGATCAAGGGCGCAATGACAGATGTCGTGAACGATCAGTCCCGCACTGAGTTCTA